TTTTTTTTTTCTTATTTTCAAATATCCTACTTAACTTTTATGTTGTAACTATTCTTTTAGCCTTTAAATTTATCTTTTTTTTTAAATTTAATTTAGCTGAAAATATAATTTTTATTTCTATAATATTTGCTTTACCTCTTTACTAATTTTATTATTGAAGAAATTGCCTTATAAAGTCAATTTCTATTACTATTACTATAGAAAGAAATTTTTCCTGGTAAAATATGTTTACTTATTCTATTTATATTTTTTCATGTCATAAATTAAACTTGTTATTTATATTTTATTAGGTATGTATTGCAGTTCAGACGAGAAACTGATGAAGAAATACGTAAACGTAAAGAAGAAGCAAGGAAAGAAATTATTCCTGTTACTGAAGAAGAGTTAGAATTTGATCCTGTACCATTCTATGATGGTGAAGAATTAGGTTTTCCAGTTAGACCAAAATGGAGTCCTGATATGACTAGAGAAGAGTTAGATAATAGGGAGTATAGATATTTCAAAAATTACTTGTTGTCATTAAAACAAAGAAGTGACTGGGATCAATTGAGTTATTTTGAGTTGAATCTTGAAACATGGAGGCAAATGTGGCGTGTGATGGAAATGTCTGACATCCTTGTATGGATTGCTGATGCACGATATCCAGTAAGTAATTAAAAGACTTGTAGTAATAAGTATAAGTCCATTTTTTGAGTTCATTTATTTAGAGCACTCTGTTATTATTATTTTAACTATAAAAATAATGTTTTGAATGCTCTTTGTTTTTTAATTTATTTGGTTGTTTATCTAAGAAATTGCTGTTTTATAAATAATGCATTGGTATCAAAAAGTTACTGTTAAATAAATAATTTTAATTTTAGGCCATTCCACCTTATTTATTTACATATGTGTTGAGGACATTAAAAAAAAGTTTAATCATCATATTGAATAAGGTCGATCTAGTTCCATCACCAGTAGCATTAGCCTGGAAACACAAATTAGTAGAAACATATAATTTAGATAATGATCATGATGCTAATGTACATGTTTTATTTTTTACGTCATACATAAAAAGCTCAGAATTTAAAGAAGGTGAAGTTTTAGTGTTAATATTTTTATTAAAAATCCTAACTCATAAAACTTATTATAGTTATATTCAAAAAAATATAGGAATACAAAAGAAAAAACCAAGGGGAAAATTGAAAATGGCTGCAGATGCTGCTGAATTGCTAATGAAGGAATGCAAATACATTGTTGAAAAATATCAAGCCAATAGTAAGTAGTATAAATTACATATTCAATATATTGAAACTATACTAATAAAATTTATCTCTTTTATCTTAAGTTTTAATATTATTCATGATTAAACGATAACTTTATAACTTTATTATTGTGGTACAATTATTTAAAACTACCACAACCACGAATTATTTTCAGAGTTGTTTTGATTTCAACAAATATTTTTCTCCTCATTGTGATGAATAATAATAATTACTATAAAAAAAAAAAAATAAATAAAAATAATAATAATAATAAGAAAATTTGTGATGATTTATTAAATTACAATTACAATTAA